CAACACGCCGAATCCAAGCTTTACCGTAAACCGGAAACTTAACTTCACCCTGAACCTGCAAATCCTAAAGTTGAACTTGAACCTACAACTTAAGAAGCTCCACACTTCACTGTGCAACCCAACCTGAAACCGCCTTAAATCCCTTCCCGAAGCCCTACACCCCAACCTGAAACCGCCTTGAATCCCTTCCCGAAGCCCTACACCCCAAATTCCAAACGAATACCCTACATAACTCCTGTATATCACTGTAGAACCCTACATATGCCCTATACAACCCTACAGACCTTTCTATAACCCCATACAAGCTTATGTAACCCTGTTTTACATGACCCTACCCTAAACCCTAAACCCCAATCCCCAATGCAACCCCAAATCGCGCCTCCAGGTGTTTGTAAGATCGGGAGTAGGCCTTTGCATCCCTTCCCCTTCCCAGATCGTTTGGCATCGTGATCACGAAAAGCGCCTTGAGGCCTGAGTTTCATCGTTCAGGGGGTTTAGGGTTTGAGGTTTAGGGTTCAAGGTTTAGGGTTCAGGGGTTTCGGATTTAGGGGTAAAGTCTAAGGGTTTAAGGGTTAAGCCGTCGGGGGTTCAGAGTTGGGCGTCCCGACACTAGGGGCTGCCTTTGGGGGGGGATATACCGATAGATAGGGGTTATACCGTATACGGGTTTGGCGTTTAGGGCTTCCCAGAACTAGGGTTATGTAGGGGTGATATAGGGATATAACAACCAGAAAATAGCGGGGACTCAACTGGAAAAGAAAACAAAACGTGAGGATGGAAACTGGGATTACACAAATGGGTTAGGGTGTCACAAAAAGGATAATAGTATTTTGAAAACTTTATCAAGGTCCCCTTTTTGGAAAACTACCAGATAGAGGCCATCTGATTGTTTATGATAAGGAGCGTTGGGAACCACAAGGGTTAGAGTGGGATAATAAGAGTTGCTTTAGGGATTGTATAAGGATAAGTCTTCGGAGCACCGGTTCTGCACATTTGCCGCGTAGTGAGAGGAGAGGCATGCGGGAGACGCAATTTCAATATGGAGTCCCGGACCGAAAAGACTCGAGCCCGCTCTAGGTTAGGTGGGCCCCCACCCAGCATAAGGGGTAGTAAGGATTATAGTAGGGCTCTCTTATATTCCCATTATATCACTATTACAGGGTGGGGGGCTCCTCCTAAGCTCCAGGCTTCATAGCTTGACTGGTTGGGAGCCTGAAGACTCGTAGGAAAACCTGCAACTTGGGGAAAAGGCAACCTGCAAACTGGCAACCCAATACCCGAACCTCATCCTTTAAGCTCCTCCCTCACTCTCCATTCCCAGAATCCTAAACCCTTAAAACTAACAGTTTAGGGTTTTAGGATCTAGGGTTTAGGGTTTAAGGATTGAGGGCTAAGGGCTTAAAGGTCTAGGGTTGAAGGTTTAGGGTTTAAGGGTTTATAAACCCTGAATCCTAACACCCCGGCCCCAGAAGCTGCAGACAGTGCTTAGGGTTTAGGGTTCTGCAACAAAGTACCCAAACAATGGGTTCTGCACATGAAGACCATAGGAGGACCCCCGCCCCGTAATAGTAGTATAATAGGAAGACAAAATCAAAACATGCCCCGGGACGGTCAGCCCCCCTTCTCGCAAGAAGGGATGCTGCAGCGGTGTCCCAAGCCGCGGCCCCCGTCTCGACCTGCGGGGGGGGGTCGGCCATCCGGCTTCGCGGCGCCAGAAGACCGACCCCCCCCCGTCACGACCCGCGGGGGGGGCCGGCCACCCGGCTCGTGCCGCCAGGAGACCGACCCCACGCAACGCGAAAACGACGAACGACGGCGAACGCGAAGAGAGCATCGACGCAGAAGGCAGCAACAGCACCAAGCCCAAAGCGACAGCAAAGCAGGCCTTTTTTTCCTGGCAAAAGGCGCCAGGTCGCAAGTACACAAAAGCAGGGTCTTTGAGGTTCTCCACACCCTAAGCATCCACAACACAACTAGCTGAACAAAACAAGTTAAGTCCCAGCACCCACAAAAGCAACCCAAACCAAACTCAAACCCCAAAACCCTTCTACAGGGGAGGGAGAGGCACACTTACGGCAACCTCCCCCTCCCTCCCCTGGTCAAGAAACAAACAAGTGAGGACGGCACAGCCTACATATCCAATAATATGTATTCGCATATACAGACATATGTATATACATACACGTATGCATACATGTATGTGTATATATTTATAGACATGTACGTGTATAAAAAAAGTATATAACATGTATACATATGTATACATATGTATATATATATTATCCATAAAAAAGAGTGCCGCGCGTCTTCAGCTGTTTCACCTGCAGCTTCGAGGAGCAGATTGTCACGGAATCCCCCGAAGGCTCCTTTTGAGCTGAGATGCGGACCCCAGGCAGGGACATCGAGCCTTGGATCCATGCAGGTTTTTGCAAAATGAAGGCGGAATACAGTTTCATTTTAAGTACTACCCCAATGCCCATGGCTAACATCTACAGGTAGAAGGGGATGGTTCCGAACCGGTTTAGGGTTTTAGGTGGGTTGTAGGGTGCATAAGGGAAGTGGGGAGGGGGTACCCTAGGGACCCCAGGGGATATATAGGGATTATATAGGGATTATGGGGGTCCTTACCCTAGAAGAACCTATAAGCCCTCCAAGTTTACATACTTACCTACGTACATATATATATATATATGTGCATACATAACATGCAAATACATGCAAGAAAGCTGAGGCCAGCTCAGTCGCCTCACTTCTTGACCTCGCATCGTCGCAAGCCAAAAAAAGAGAGGCAAGCAACGCACGACAAAGCAAGCCGAGACAACATACAAGCCGGGGCCGAAGCCGCGTCACCCTTGGCAGCCTCCGCAGGACACAAGAACACACACACACACAGACACACACACACAAACACTCACATGCGCCCGCACACAAGCAGCTACCTTCACCAGAGGACGCGAGGATGCAGATGTCGCCACCTACCAATTACGCGCGAAAAACAACAAAGCCAGCACCCTCTGGCGCTCGAGCAGGGCTGCCTGCCAGAAACAAAGAACATAACAGCACAGCACTTGCCCGGATCCCCGCTCCTTCCCACTCCCCCGCCTCTGCTGTCCCGTCTGCCTTTCTTTTCTTCTCCTGTCAACCAAAGAGAACGCACACACGCTCGAACGAACGAACATGCGAAGGCAGGTCAGCACGACGACCTTCGGCACGGAGTGAAGCGCCTGTACGCTGAACAAACGCAAGCCCAAAAAAAAACAGGCCAAAACCACCGCCTCTGCATCACGCCAGGCATCTTGCAGAGCCTGCACAACCCCCCACACCCCCCCCCCTCCTCCCACCTTCCCCCTTCCCCACAAAAGCTGCCTGCCACACACGCACAAACAAAAAGGCCTTCAGATCCTTGGGCTTGCACGCCTGCACGCAAGAACAAACGCACGCACAGACGCACGCAAACGCGCAGACCAGAATACACACACAACAGCACGAGCTGCACCTCATCCTTCTTCACCTCCACGGGACACAACAAACCAAAATAGGCAAACATCACGCACAAAACGCTTAAAGCCAGCCTCCTTCCGGGCTGTCACCTCGGCCTCACCAGCACAATCCACGCTCACCCCCCAGAATACACACACAACATCGTTAGCTGCGCCACCTTCACCCTCGCGTCCTTCATGGGCTCCTGCACGAAAGCAGGTTTAGGGTTTAGGGGTTTAGGGTTTAGGGAGCACGAGCTGCACCTCATCCTTCTTCACCTCCACGGGACACAACAAACCAAAATAGGCAAACATCACGCACAAAACGCCTAAAGCCAGCCTCCTTCCGGGCTGTCACCCCGGCCTCACCAGCACACTCCACGCTCATCCCCCAGAATACACACACAACATCGTTAGCTGCGCCACCTTCACCCTCGCGTCCTTCATCATGCGCTCCTGCACTCAAGCACGTCCCACGCACGTAACGAACCAACTCCCACAACAGGAAGCACCCAAATCCCACCCCCCCCCCCGCCTCGTCCAACTCCTTTGCCGACTCTTTTTCCTGCACAAAAAAAACCAAGAAGCATCGACAAACATCGCAACAAGAAACAAATGACGCACGCCTTCTTCTTCTTCGGCCGCTCCTAAACAAGACAAGCAAACAAAACAAGGCCAACGTCACGCACAAAACACCTAAAGCGAGCCTCCTTCGGCTCTGGCACCGTTGCCTGACCAGCACATCAACAATCTCAATTTTTGTTGGGGGGGTCTCCGCCGAACATCTGAACAAAAAAACACCAAACCCAAAAGAGGAACTCCATGGGAGAGTCCAAGTAAAAATCTAAACAGTAAACCGTCAGCCCGATTGACCACAACTTTCGAAATCGCGAACGGCTCCACTCAAACACAAAACCCTGAACTCTGAACCCCTTGATCCCCAAACCATAGCCCCTGAACCCTAAACACCACATACCCTTGTATAGTCCAAAGAAATGCTGTATATCCCTATATGAGCTACCGTCCATATATCCCATATGGATATGGTTCCTTATACGGGACAACATGAGAGACTATACTAAAGTAATTGCCACAGGGACCCCTATGTCCACCCTAATGCTGTCTTGGTAAGCCTAAACCCTGAACCATGGTTCCTTGGTAACCCTAGTCTTGAGAGTAGCTCATAGGATCTGTAGTATCTATAGTCTAAACTCCTAGTATCCCCCTTGATACCCCCCTACAACACTCCCCAATATAACCCCCTATATAACCCCCCTTATGGAATTTAGACCCTAAACCCCAAACGCTAAACCCAAGATAATCCCTATATACCCCGCTTTAAGGAGTTTAGACCCTAAACCCCAAACCCTAAACCCAATAGAATCCCCTACATACCCGCCTTTAAGGGGTTTAGACCCTAAACCCCAAACCCTAAACCCAATAGAATCCCCTACATCAACGCCCTAACCCCTAAACCCTAAACCCTCAACCCTAACCCCTACCTTTGGTCAGGTAAAGTTCGCTCCAAGGTCTCGGAGTCCACAGGGACTACCGACCAATCTGTTGAAGGGTTTCAGGGTTGAAGGGTTTGGAGTTTAGGGGTTAAGGGCTTAGGGGTTTAGGGTGTTGCCTTTAGGGTTTAAGGGTTGAAGGGTTTGGAGGTTTTTGGGTTTAAGGGTTTAGGGTTTCAGGGTTGAAGGGTTTGAGGTTTTTGGGCTTAGGTTTAAGGTTTTGGGTTTAAGGGTTTTGGGTTTAAGGGTTTAGGGTTTAAGGGTTTGGGGTTTAAGGGTTTCAGGGATGTGAAAAGTGAGGCGGCTATCAGCCCGAGCTTCGCGGGGCAGGAAAAGTGAGAATGCGCTG